CTATAAAATTTGAAATCAACAATAGGAAGATGAATGGAAAAAGAACAAACACATGGGAAGTGAATAACACCCTCCTTGAAAACAACTGGGTGATAGAAGAAATAAAAAATGAAATTAAAGAATTCCTTCAATCAAATGAGAATGAAAACACAACATACCAAAATCTTTGGGACACAGCAAATGTAGTGACCAGAGGCCAATTTATAGCAACAAATGCACAAATCAAAAAGAAGAAAGAGCAAAATCAACACCTTAACTCAACATCTCCAACAATTAGAAAAAGAGCAGCAAAAAAAGCTTACAGTCACCAGAAGAAAAGAAAAATAAAGATTTGAGCAGATATAAATGAAATAGAAAATGAAAAGACAATAGAAAAAAATCAACAAGACTTCTTAGAAGTTTTTTCTTCAAAAAAATTAATAAAATTGACAGACCACTGGCAAATTTAACAAAGGAAAAGAGGGAGAGAATACAAATAACATGAATAAGAAATGAATTGGGTGACACTATAACACAACCAACAGAAATTAAAAGGATAATATCAGGATATTATGAACAACTAGACTCCAACAAATTCAGAAATCTAGAAGAAATGGACAGATTTCTAGAAACATACTACTTACCTAAACTAATAGAGATTGCAGTGGAAAATTTAAGCAGACCCATAACAAAAGAAGAAATTGAATAAGGCATAAAAAAATTGCCAATAACAAAAAAAAGCCCTGACCCAGATAGTTTCACAGGAGAATTCTACCAAATATTCAGAGAAGAACTGACACCAATCCTGCCCAAACTATTTCAGAACATAGAAAAGGATGGAATCCTCCCTAACTCATTTTATGAAGCAAGCATAACCTTGATATCAAAATCAAGCAGAGACATTACTAAAAAGGAAAACTACAGACCAGTATCCCTCATGAATATAGATGCAGTAATCTTCAACAAAATCCTAGCCAATGGAGTCCAACAACATATTAAAAAAAAATGTATTATGATCAAGTGGGGTTCATATCAGGTATGCAAAGATGGTTTGACATTGGAAAAACAATCAACGTCATCCATCACATAAATAAAACAAAGGGAAAGAACCACCTGATCATATCGATTGATGCAGAGAAGGCATTTGATAAAATCCAACACCCATTCCTGATCAAAACTCTCAGCAAAATAGGAATAAAAGGGACATTCCTCAACATAATAAAGGGCATCTATGCAAAACCCAGAGCCAACATTATCTTCAATGGAGAGAGAATGATACCATTCCCCTTGCAAATAGAAACCAGTCAAGGGTGCCCCCTCTATCACCACTTCTAGTCAACATTGTGTTGAAGTCCTAAGCAGGGCAATAAGGCAAGAAAGGGAAATCAAAGGCATCCAAACTGGTAAATGATCTGGTTACCTGGTTACCTAGTGCCGCTCTGACAAGAATATACCACAAATGGGATGGCCTTAACAAACAAGAGTTTATTTTCCTATAGTTTGGAAGCTTTAAGTCCAAGTACAAAGTGCCAGGTTCTAGGGGCTGGGTGAAAACCCCTCGACCTTGGGCTCCAGTTCTACCTTTTGCTCCCAGCTCACCGAAGCTAGAGGCACCTCTTCACTCAGGCAGTTGCTGGCTGCTGAGGCTAACAGGCCCAAGGTCGACAAATAAAATGGCACAGTCCCGATGTTACCAAACCACATGGCAGGCCATTAATTTAAAGTCCATTGTAAGTCCCAAGGTCAGCAGAGCATGGCAGGCTGCTGAACAACGACATGGCTTGAACATGCAGGGTTCAAGCATTGCCATAAGCTAGAGACCATTTCCAAAGCTGCTGCTTATATACGGGAAGCAGACCACATACCCAAAGCAGCTACTCAGCTGCTTGTGGTAGATCCTACCATGGAGTTGATTGCCAGTCTCATCATGGGGAATAACTACCACGAGCTGCCCAGCCACCCAACCAGGCCCAGGCAAGTTCACACACAAATATAACCACCACAGTAAGGAAGAAGTCAAGCTATTCCTATTTGCTGATAATATGATCCTATACATAGAAAACCCAAGAGACTCAGCAAAAAAAACTACTGGAACTAATTGAGAGAATTAGTATAGTGTCAGGATACAAGATCACCATCCAAAAATCAATTGGATTACTCTACACCAGTAAAGAGGTTGCTGGAAAGGAAATAAGGAAATCAATACCATTTGCAATAGCTACCAAAAGGAGCTCTGGTAGCATAGTGGCTAAGGCGCTTGACTGCTAACCAGAAGGCTGGTGGTTCAAATCCACCAGCCACTCCTAGGAAGGAAGATGGAGCAATCTACTTCTGTAGTGATACTGCCTCAGAAACCCAAGGAGGGATCGCTATGAGTCGGGTTCGACTCGATGGCAGATAACAACAACAATAACAACCAAAAAAATTAGATATTTGGGAATAAATCTCACTTGGGACATAAAAGACCTGTACAAAGAAAACTACAAATCACTACTTCAAGAGACCATTAGAGATTGACATAAATGGAAGAACATGCCATGTTCAAGGATAGAAAGATTGAGCATTGTGAAAATGTCAATACTACCCAAAGCAATCTATACATTTAATGCAATCCCAATCCAGATTCCATCAGAATTCTTTAAGGGTATGGAAAAACCAATCACTAATTTTATATGGAAAGGAAAGAGACCTCGAATAAGCAAAGCACTATTGAAGAAGAAGAACAAAGTAGGAGGTCTCACACTCCTGGATCTCAAAACCTACTCTACAGCCACAGTAGTCAAAGCAGCTTGATATTGATATAATGAAAGGCAGCTAGACCAGTGGAACAGAACTGAGAACCCAGAAATAGATCCATCTACCTATTGTCAGCTGATTTTTGACAAAGGGCTGAAATCTGTTAAATAGGGAAGAGAATGTCTGTTTAATAAATAGTGCTGGGGAAACTGAATCCCCATTTAAAGAAAAATAAAACAAGATCCGTGCCTCACACCATACACAAAAACTAACTCCAGATGGATCAAAGACTTGATTGTGAAACTTATAACTGTAAAGTTCCTGAAGGAAAAAATAGGGACAAATTTAGGGTCTCTAATTTATGGCATAAATAGATTGTCAAGCATAACCCAAAATGCACATATAGCAGAAGATAAATAGATGAATGGGACCTTCTAAAAATTAAATTTTTATGTGCTTCCAAAGATTTCTTCAAAAGAGTCAAAAGAGAACCTACAGATTGGGAAAAAATATTTGGCAACAACATATCTGACAAGGGATTTGTCTCTAAATTTATAAATTTTATCTCTAAAATTTATAGAAAATACCTCAACGACACAGGGATTAACAATCTAATTTAAAAATGGGCAGAAGACATGAATAGAAACTTCACCAAAGAGGGTATTCAGGTGGCCAACAAATACATGAAGAAATGCTCATGATCATTAGCCATCAGAGAGATGCAAATCAAAACAACCATGAGATGCCATCTCACCCCAGCACTAATGGTAAAGTTCAACAAGACAGAAAATAACAAATGCTGGCGAGGACGAGGAGAGATTGGGACTCTCATACACTACTGGTGGGACTGTAAAATAAAACAACCACTGTGGAAGCAGTATGGCAATTCCTTAAAAAGCTGGAATTTGAAATACCACTTGATCCAGCAATTCCATTTACTAGCTATGTATCTTAAAGAAGTGAGAGCCAGGACAAGAATAGATATAAGCACACTCATGTTCACTGCAGCACTATTTACAATAGCAAAAAGATGGAAACAACCTAGGTGCCCATCAGCAGAAGAATGAATAACACACTATGGTACATACGTACAATGAAATAACTTTACGACATTGAAGAATAATAAAGAATCTGCAAAACACTGCATAACGTGGATGAAGTTGGAGGACATTATTCTGTGTGAAAAAAGGCAAGCACACAAGGACAAATACATTATTAGTTCATTATTGTAAAAAGTCAAGGAAAGGTTTCTATATGAAAGGAAACGTTCTTTGTTGGTTACCAGGGGTGGGAGAGGAAGGGAGGGAACACTGAAAAAGAAAAAAATGCATTGACCCATGTCATTTTAGTTTTGTGTATTTCACTATACATGAATTATATTTCAATTAAATGTATTTAAAAATATATAGAATATGGCTGTTGAGCATTTGAACTGTACCAAATACAACTAAGAAAGTGAATTTTAAATTTTATTCTATTTAAATTAAAACAAATAGCCACCTGTGGCTGTATTAGCCCAGATTAGTCACATGGTATGTATGGGTCTCCATTTGCACTCAGGCCTAAGTCTTGCAGATGTTGGAGTGGACCTCGTTATATAACAGAGCAGTGCTTGTCCTGGACCTCTCGCTGTAGGTCCGTGGAGTGGTGTGATCATATGTTCTCAAAGAGTACCTCCTTTCCTGTGATAAGCTCTGTCAATTTGGCATGCATATACTTGTATAGCAGTTCATACAGTGTCTGGACTCTGCTAAGGCTCAATGGGAACTCTCATCCTCCCTATCTTTAGGACGAGTTACCATTTTAGTGGTGTCTAAAAAATAAAACAAGAACTAAGGAGGTCATTGGGAGGTGGAACCAAGGTGTTGAGAACATTTGTCATTGAAAGGTGGGAGCTGAGGATTTGGGAGTGAGAAAGGGCAGATTCATACATTGCAAATGGCCCAGGCTTTCCAGGGGTCTGTTTAGGTCATTCCTGAAAGGCAAAAGTGAGAGATTTACTGCTGAACCCCCCTTCATGATGGCACCAGAATGTTGTTGTTGTTGTTATTGTGTGCCGTCGAGTCAGACCTGACTCAAAGTGACCCCTCCTTGGGTTTCCAAGGCAGTATCACTATGGAAATAGATTGCCCCATCTTCCTTCCGAGGAGTGGCTGGTGGGTTTAAACCGCCAGCCTTCTGGTTAGCAGTCAAGTGCCTTAGGCACTATGCTAGTGCCTTCAAAGATCGTTTTCTGCATTTGCCAAATGTTAGCACTTCAGACCACCTGTTCTTTCTCATAGGGTTCCGCCAAGGGACCTGGCTGTGCTGCTGTGCAACAAATCCAATGCATTTTACAACCTTGGGAAATGGAATGAGGCGTTTCTCTCAGCCAAGGAATGTCTCCGGTGGGATCCGACCTATGTGAAGGTATGGTGTGGTAGGGAGGCAGCTACTGCCTCCCCTCTCTTAACCTGCCTCTTTTTCTTATTTTTAAGATGAAAATGCTAGGAGAACTTCTTACTCAACTACTTCTGCACTTTAGACAGCTGCTCATAAGGCCATGTGCGTGTTGCCTGGAGAAGGGAAAAAGCAATGTTTGCCAAGCAGTGAAATGCATGTGTAGGAAGAGAGGCAAAATGTGGGCTCTTGGCAGATGGAGTGTAGGGGATCTCACAGTGAAGCATTAACCTAGTTCTATTCTGATGTAGTCACTCTAAAACTCCTAGTCTGTTTCTGTTCTTTGCTGTTTATACATATCTTTTTAGCAGAGCTTTATTTCAAATGAAAGTTGGTGGACACTGTGACACTGATTCTTCAGAAAACAATTTTTACAGTAGAAATCAGACCCTTTAAAGGTGCCAGTAAAGGTCAATAAATGATCATTTGATGATCTTTTCAGCTAAGGTGCCCTGAGTACCTGCGCTGCAAAGCATCGTTACCATTCTTGGTGCCTCAGAGGTAGGCAGAAGGAGCAGAAGATCTTGTCTCCGCTATTGAGTAACTCACAGCCAAGTTGGAAGAGGAAAAGCACGCTCACAAAATGAGAGGAGTTAAATTACATAGAATTCTGAAGCCAAAGGAGACAACATAGAATGAAGTGTCATTCTATGACTCTATGTCATTCTATGACACTATGACTCTATGAAGTGTCACTAGTGGTTTAGACTATAGAGAGGCTTCATAATAAAGTGGGAAAAACATGGGCCTTACTTGGCTATGTATTAGTTCCAACAGCTTGGACAAATTACTTTTCTCTAAGTTTTAATTTCTAGGTATAAAGTGGGATATTACCTGTATTTTAGCATTGCCTTGAGGATTAGGGAGATACTAAGTAAAACTAGGAATTTTTATCCTCATCATCGTAGTCATCAAGTGCATGGAACTAGAAAATAGACCCAGATATACTTTGTTGTTGTTAGTTGCTGTGGAGTTGATTCCAACTCACGGCGACCTTGTGTGTGGAGAGTAGAACTACACCATGCAGTTTTCGAGGCAGTGACCTTTCAGAAGGAGATTGCCTGGTTTTACTCCTGAGGAACCCTTGGATGGGTTTGAACTGCCAATCTTTCACTTAATAGTCCCAGTGTTTAACCAGTTGTGTCACCCAGGGACTCCAGATATTTTTAGTGATTTACATTTTGTGTGTGACTACTACCAACAGAACAAAATAGGAAGGGGAATAGGAAGAGTGGCCAACAGATCACTCCAACCCAAAAGGATTTGGATATTTAGTAAAACGAAAATCCAAATTCTACGGGGTTAGAGTGGTCTATTGGCCACCTATCCCCTTCCTGTTCTCATTATAAGTGGAATCCTTGAGTGGTACAAATGGTTACGCTCTAGACAGACTACTCGTCCAAAGGTTGACAGTTAGAACCCACCCAGTGGCGCCTCAGAAGACAAGCCTAGCGATCTGCTTTTGAAAGGTCACAGTCTTGAAAACCCGATGTGAAAGTTCTCCTCTGCACACGTGGAATTGCCATGAGGCAGAATGGACTCAATGGAAACTAGCAACAACATTACAATTGTTGTCCAATTTCACCTGTTGGAGGATGGGTACTTCAGAGGCTATTGACTAGCTCTGAAGATGGAAATTCATTCCTAAGGAATTCTTTCCAGAAGATACTTAAGGATTTTCCCACTCCTCTATCTGGGATATAGGTGGGGAGTATTTGAGGTGTGTCCACTCCCACAGGTGAAAGCTGTGGCTCAGGGGACTGAGGGGGTCTTGATGATGCTCCCGGGTCTTCCTGAGTGGCCAAACCTGCACCAGGCCCTGTAGCACAGCAAGTAGGGCCACTCCCCCACTGTTACCCAGAGCTCCCGAATGTCCCTAGCCACCCCCCCCCCCCAGTAGCCTCCCTCAAAAACAAAAGGTGCAACTTGAATCTGAGAAAGGTAAAGAAATGGGAGATTCTGTTCCAACTTGCCTGGTTGGGGGAAAAAAAAACACAGAAAAAACATGAAAAATCAACATCCCCCCATTCCTGCCCCAATCTTTTCTGATTGTTATCTGAAGGTTTTAGATGAAAACAAATCATTTCCTAATCAGAGATTTGGCATTAAATGGAATGTTTAAGTGCTTGCTTTTTTTAAAAATGAACCCTGTTGGTATACACCTTCTGTTATCATTGAAATAAAATTGTTTTGGTGGATCTTTAATGCTGATTCACATGCTCAAAGTGGGTAGGGATATATCATTTTATTCTACTTGTGAGTCCTACAGTTTGTATGCAGGCAAAACCAGCCATTTTCCTCTATTAATCCTTGTAATTTTACATGATCTTTCCTTTATAGAAATAATTTTTTTTTTTTTTTTTGGGTCTGGTACATATTGCTTATAGTAGGGAGCTTAGTAAATTCAGTGCTTGTCATTATAATTTTTTCTTACATACCCAATGGAAATTGTGTTTACTTTGATTGAAAGGAGCAGGAAACAACTTTTATGCATGCATGGCAATCTCATTCTTTCCTTGAACACTGTATTCGTAGGATATTTCATTCCTCTGTCATTACACAGGCTGTGATTTGAGGCATGAATAAATAAACCACACATCATTGAAACTAGCTCTGCTTCCTTCTCTCTGTCATATGTTAGGTGCTGATACGTCATGGATTTGAAATTGATTATTTTTTTGGCAGCTAAAAATAGCAGGAAAAATGTGGCACAGGATATAATGTGGAAATCCCATATCCAGTACTGGATGGAAATCTGTGTTTAAATAGAGTTGGGTTTTCCCATGTTGTCAGTCTTGCCTTTCCTTTCAGCAGCAGGTTAGAAAAGTTATGATGTGTTATAGTTTTCTCATGTTCTCCTTTCCAGGGATACTACCACGCTGGTTATGCCTTGCTGCAGTTGCTCCAGCGTTATGAGGCTGCTAGCATGTTTTTTGAGGGTCTACGACTTCTTCAGGACAGTCAAGAGCAAGGACAGGTTGCTGATTTTCTTGTTGGAATCTTCATCACTATGAGCAGTAAGTCATAGCTGCAGAAACTTTATTTTTAAAGTCTTTATTATTTTATTTGAGATGGCTGCTGGGGGGAGCAAATGGTTAATTGAAGGTTTGAGTTCACCCAGTGGCACCTTGGGAGAGATACCTGGCCATGTACTTTGAAAGGCACAGTTCTACTGAACAACTCATGAGGTCGCCGTGAACTGGAATCAACTTGACAGCAACTGCTTTGGCTTTTTTGGGCTTCCTTTTATTTGAATGGCCAACTGTGGGACTCAGGACTCCTGGGGAGGTAATTTCAGAGTGTTTCTTTGTGGCTGATTTGTGTAGTGTGAATAAGACTAGTTTGCACATTAGAAAGCAGGGTGGCAACTTGGTGGTTCATGCCTTCGTAAAAGTCATTAAGTTCTAAGTTCTTTTGCATAAATTACTTAAAACAAAAAAAGCAAAATCCACTGCCATTGAGTTGACTCCAACTCATAGTTGATCCCCATTAGGTTTTCAAGGCTGTACATCTTTATGGAAATAGATTGCCTCATCTTCCTCCTGCAGAGCAGTGGGTGGTTTTGAACTGCTGACCTTCTGGTTAGCAACCAAATATCTTACCTACTATGCCACCAGAGGTCCTTCAATTACTTAAAGGCTTTCTCAGTTTTGTTTCAGACCCCTTAAATTCTTGGATGTTGCGATTCGTAGAGGTTTCTCTATTTATACCAAAAAAACAAAATACCCATTGTTATCACAGTGACCCTATAGGACAGAGTAGAACTGCCTCATTGAGTTCGAAGGCTGTAATCTTTATGGAAACGGACTGCCTCTTCTTTCTCTTGTGGAGTGACTGGTGGGTTTGAACTGTGGACCTTTCAGTTAGCAGCTGAGTGCTTAATCACTGTGTCACCAGGACTCCTCCTCCTTATTTAAACTACTTGTTTTATGTAATTTTTGCTTTTTCCTTTGAGTTTTGCATATAGTTTTCTTTCTTAAAAATTTTTGCAGTGTTTCCTCCCCTCCCTTCCTATGCCTGGTAAATAACAAAGAAAGTTTCCTTCCATATATAAACCTTTCCTTGACTTTTTGCAATAATTAACTAATACAATGTTTGTCCTATGATCGACTTATTTCCTAAGTCGACTCAGCATAATGTCCTCCAAGTTCATCTATGTTATAGAGTGTTTTGCAGATTCTATGTTATTCTTTAGTGTTGGATAGTATTCCATTGTATGTATGTATCATAGTTTGTTATCCCTTCTTCTGTTGATGGACACCTAGGTTGTTTCCATCTTTTTGCTATTGTAAATAGTGCTGCAGTGAATGTGGGTATGCATATATCTGTTCTTGTCCTGGCTCTTACTTCTTTAGGATATATACCTAGTAATGGGATTGCTGGATCAAATGGTATTTCAAATTCTAACTTTTTAAGAAATCACCATACTGCTTTCCACAGTGGTTGTATCATTTTACAGTCCTACCAGCAGTGTATGAGAGTCCCAATCTCTCCACATCCTCATCAGCATTTAAAGAACTTTATAGTTTTAGGTTTCACATTTAAGTCTTTGATCCATTTGGAGTTAGTTTTTGTGTATGGTGTGAGGTACAGATCTTGTTTCGTTTGTGCAAATGGATATCCAGTTTTGCCAGTACCATTTGTTAAAGAGACCATCTCTTCCCCATTTAATGGATTTCAGCCCTTTGTCAAAAATCAGCTGACCACAGATCTATTTCTGGGTTCTCAATTCTGTTCCACTTATCTGTGTGTCTGTCATTGTAGCAGTAGGCTGTTTTGACTACTGTGGCTGTATAGTAGGTTTTGAGATGCAGGAGTGTGAGACCTCCTACTTTGTTCTTCTTCTTCCATAGTGTTCAATCTTCCTATCCATGAGCATGGTATGTTCTTCCATTTATATAGATCTCTTATGGTTTCTTGAAGTAGTCTTTTGTAGTTTTCTTTGTACAGCTCTTTTGTATCCCTAGTGAGATTTGTTCCCAAGTGTTTAATTTTGTTGGAAGCTATTGTAAATGATATTGATTTCCTTATTTCCTTATTTCCTTTTCAGCAATTTCTTTACTGGTGTAGAGGAATCCAACTGATTTTTGTATGTTGATTTTATATCCTGACACTATGCTAAATCTCTCAATTAGTTCCAGTAGTTTTTTTTTTTTTTTTTTTTGAGTCTCTTGGTTATCTTAATGTTAGTACCTTAATGCAGTGGGAAGTCAATTTGATCAAATCTAAGATATCATTGATTTAAGTTGTACCATTAATTTATGTACTTCTAGTAAGACAGGAATCCCAGGGTGGTATAAACAGTTAATGCGCTAAAGGATGGCAATTTTAGTCCACCCAGAGACACTCAAAAGAAAGGCTTGCAATCTTTTCTGAAGTCACCGTTGAAAACCCTCTGGAGTGCAGTTCTACTCTGACACACATGGAGTCTCCGTGAGTTGGAATCAATTTGATGGCAATTGAATAGGAGAGACACAGATTATAAGACATGTCCTTATTTCAGAGATGTTAGAATGTGAAAAAATGGAGCACATTAGAATTGCTGAAAAATGGCCTTTGGCTTTTAGAAGTGGGGAAATCACTGCTGACAGTAGATTCAACTGTTCCCATCGCTCTTATGGGCATGCAACTTCTGTGATCTGTGGATGGAACCCAGTAGATTTTGACAAGTTTGACATGGAGAGGGAGTGTGAGCAATAGTAGGCAATGGGAAGAGGTTAGAAGTGGGCATAGCCGTGTCCCTTGGACAGAGAAGTAGAAAGTCTCTAAAAAGATGCTGAGGGGGTTACATCTCTCTAGTCACCCCTTTGATGACAGTGACAGAAGCTTGCCTCCTTTCTCTCCTAGCCTGCAGGCTTGGTCCATTCCCTACACTTCCTCCCTGTCTTCTCTGCATCTTTTAAGAGTCACTGTTCTGTCAGGAGCCAGGCTGGAGTTATAGGGATTGCAGATAACTACTTCTTGGTGACTGCTCTTCTAAGATAACCTGAGTAGTTCCTATTCTTTCTCCATCCTGAGAAGGGGCAGTTAATAGGACTTCTTAAGGCAATGCATTGGGTTCTTTTTACCAGAGTACCTATTTGGGAAGGACTCTGGTCAAGCACTCAGCTGCTAACAGATTGGCTCTTTGAACTCACCCAGGGATTCTGTGGGAGAAAGACCTGGTGATCTGCTCCTGTGAAGATTACAGGATTGAAAACCCTATGTAGAGCAGTTCGACTTTGTCATTTGGGGTTACTATGAGTCGAAATCAACTCACCAGCACCTAACAAGAGAATAGCCCTTTAGTGGATGGTAAATGTATACGTACAGCTAAATTTCTAAATTTTGGGAAATAGATTTATGAATATTTTTTATCTTTTCCTGCAATAAGTTTGTTTTGATATTATTTATTTGGAAACTGTGACCTTTGGGAGAGATGCCATACTATTCTGGTCCCTGACCTGTCCCCTTGGATATTCACATCCATACGTTTGAGAAATGTGGTTTGGGGGATAGTGAGATACAATAGGTTGATGGGCCACTGTGTTAGAAAAATTTGTATTCACTAAAAGAGTTGATAGATATGAGTGGAGGTCTTGGTTTTGTCATGAATTAGCTGCATGATGTTCCAGGAATAAAGCCTCTCCTTATTTGTCATTGTTGCTTATATGTTGAGTCACAGTAAGATTTGTCACATCTTTCTTAAAGGAAGTGAGTTTTGCAACTTAAGCTTCCACTTCTTCCTCTGTAAATGGATGTAATAGACACTGGTTTGTTTAAGGAATTAAATATATAGCATATATCACTGTGCTTAGCAAATAGAAAAGCTAAATGAATGTTAGCTAACATTATGCTGCTTAGCTCTTAGGGAACTGATTTTATGGGTGAACTTAATATGGTTGCCACTTGGTCAATCATGTAGGGCTTTATGCTTTGAAAATGACTATCTGTCTGATATCTTTAATTTACCATTGTCTGTATGTGGTCTTAATTGGAGGACCTTTTCCTAAATGTTTCTGGACTTTTCTACAAGTCAAAGTTTCTTAAGTGTGAAACTTTCTTTCAGGTGATCCCACTGTTTTGCAAAGTTTCTTGCCCAGCCTTGATCGTATTTTCACTGCTGGATTCTCAACAGAAGTGTGGCAATCTGTAATAGAAAAGTTGGCAAAGAAAGGAATATGGCATGTAAGTAAAAGGAGATGGCTCTGTTGTGGGGAGAGAACATCCTTGATAAAATGATTTCTCTGTCTTGGCCTTGGGGAATTATAATTTACTATTTGTTTATCTTGATGCCAGAATAATTTTTTAACTGGAACATCATTAAAGATGCAGAGTCATTGAGATACATTAATTATCAGTTTCCATTTTTTTGAAGATAGGAAAAATACTGAATTTGTGGCATCCTTGCTCCATATCCCCATTGTTATCAAAGAAATGTAAAGTCCAGATGTTAATAGTATGTCAAATGAGGAAAAGAAACAGTTGCATGTTTATTTATTTATTTTAGAATATTTTGTTGTATTTAAGGTGAGTGTTCACACAGAAAACTAGGTTCCCGTTTAACAGTTTCTACACAAATTATTCATTGACATTGGCTGTATTTTCTACAATGTGTCATTATTCTCATTCATCCCATTCTAGTTGTACCAATTCCAGTACTCTAGTTTCCCTACCCCTTTATCTTCTCATTTTTGCTTTAGAGTAATTTTTGACCATTTGGTCTCATATAGTTTTTTTTTTTTTTTTTTTTTTAAAGAGCTCATTACTCAAGAGTGATATTCGTTATGATTCAGTCTGTTATTTAGCTAACAAGTGACCTTGAGGGATCATTGATCATTTTGGTTTAAAGTTTGAAGTGTATCTTAGGGTGACAGTCTCAGGTAGTCCTCTAATCTTAACTGGTCCAGTAAATCAGGACTTCTTAAGAATTTGAGTTCTGTTTGCATATTTCTTTTTATACTTAATTAACTAGTGTGGTCCTGTGCTGTGCTGCTTTGACAGTTTTTGTGTAGCTTTGAGGGGCTGCTAACCCGTGTAAAGCAGCTAAGTGAGGCTATAGCAATTGAACCCAGAAAACATACAAAATAGAGAAGCAGAGTGGATGGAGTCAAGGCTTCAGTGTCACATGGATTTCTCCTTGAATCTTAATCCTTCACCTATTAATTTTGGCTGAGTAGTTCTCCTCTGAGCCTCATTTCTGCATTTGTAAGTTATAATCCCTCTCTCATGCGTTTGGTGAAGATTAGATATAATGGACCCAGAGCTCCTAATAATATCAACTAATATATACTCAGGAGCTCTGGTAGTGTAGTGCTTAAGGTACTTGACTGCTAACCAGAAAGCTGGTGGTTCAAACCCACCAGCCACTCCTCGGAAGGAAGGTGGGGCAATCTACTTCCATAGTGATATGGCCTTGGAAACCGAAGGAGGGGTTGCTATGAGTGGGGTCCGACTCGATGGCACATAACAACAACAAACAACAGTGTTTATTGAAAGTTTACAATGTGCCAGGCACAGAGCTAAAGATTTTATGATGCCTGGCATGTGCTAAGTGTCCAGTGAATGAGAGTAGTTATCGTGAATGATGGGCTATCCCACTCAAGAGCATGGGCTTCACAAGGCTGGGAGTTAGGTTAGGAAGGGCCTCCTGGGCCTTCTAAAGCTAGAAAGTCCAGAAAAATCACCAACAGGAAGGCAACCCATAAGGACTCTAGATCCTGGCAGGCCAAATGGCTTTAGAATTGAAAACACTTAACTTTTAGAAAGGTCTCAAATTCCTTTGGAAATGTAATGAAATCTATGGGACACTCCCTGCATGCATAACTAGTTATGCATGTAGTTTCAAGGGGTTCATGAGAAACTCCTGAGAGTCCAGCCATGGGTTCCCTGAAGCTTATCCCCAAGTTGACAGGGTAGTCAGCAAAGATGAAGAAAGCAGACTGAACTCTTGGGGAACCAGGAGTCAGAAATTCAGAGCCATGTTAACAAGAGATCTGGAATCTTCTGTCTCAAATAAGATGGATAGACTAAAAGATCTGTAAGAATCTTTCCAGCTACGTTTAAAAAAAAAAAAAGTCCTCAAATTCTGTGATTAGAAGTACTAGGGCAGATGTATGAGTAGGTGACTTAGGCTTCATTAGCAGGCATATAGTTCAATTTACAGCACTCAGGAAAGAGCCCCTAAGTCCCCTCTTTCTAATGCACAGTGGAGGTGAATAGAGCCTCATGGCCTGGGTGGGGAGTAAGGGAATGGGAGCCAGGCAGCTTTTAATAGATTATGACCCAAGCCAAGGTATGCCAAAGAATCCAGTCCAAGTGGCAGGTCCAACATCCTGCCAGCACCCGACCCAGATTATTCTCAAATATCGGAGAGAGAAGCATTGTGTGAAAACCAGGCCAGCAATCAGGACTGTCACAATCTTGAATGTGACATCTAGGGTTGAGGATGGGGCAGTGAGGCCTGTTTAGAGTAAGCACTTAAGAGAGGGTATCAAGCTGAAAGAGGCGGAAGCAAGACATAGCATTAGGCTCAGTTTCTGAGGTCCTGTAGTCTACTGGAGGAGCTCTGGTAGCACAGAGCCTAAGGCATCTGACTGCTAATCAGAAGGTTGGTGGTTCAAACCCACCAGCCACTCCACAGAGGAAAGACTGGGCAATCTACTTCTGTAAAGATTTACTGTCTCGGAAACCCAATGGGGTCGCTATGAGTTGGAATCGACTTGACAGCAGTGGGTTTGGTGTTTTTGGTTTTATAGTCTACTGGCAAGAAGCATACATGGGGGAGGTTGGAGCTGAGGCTACTACTGGCTCCCATGGATGGACATGACTGAATTTCCAATCAGGACCATTCCAGAGACTGGAATTTGTCGACTGTTGGCATACTTGAATGATGCCAATAGGGGCCTCTCCAGATGTGCTGCCACTTAACTATCTGTGTGACCTGGGAAAAGTTGCTTAACAGCTCTGAGCATTAGTTTCTGCAGATAAGGTCAGTGGTTTAACAATTAGCTCTCTGAGGAAAAAGAAAGTCCTGATTTATGGCATTTGCCAATTTCTGTGGTATATATACTTCCATCATGCTAAATTTCAAGCTACTAATATTACATCACAGAACTCAGAGTTGGGAAGGAGATGCATGTAATGGACTCTGACTAGTTCATAGAAGCTGGCTCCAGCACACCACTGGATAGAATCTGTTGTTGTTGTTGTTGTTGTTATGTGCCATCGAGTCAGACCCGACTCATAGCGACCCCTCCTTGGGTTTCCGAGGCAGTATCACTACGGAAGTAGATTGCCCCATCTTCCTTCCGGGGATAGAATCTAATGGGCCTCAAATAGTTAGGACTTATGAAACATTCATATACCAAAGAATTGATTAGGATGGGAGATCTCTAAAGGCTCCAATCTTCTGCTTGCTAAACTTTTTACCCCACTGCCACTGTACTCTCCATAGTGCTGCTTGATGTCAGTTGCTTCTGTCAAGCAGAAATGCATGAGGAAATGCAGAGAGACCTTAGCCCACAGCAAGAACAGAGAAACTTTGTTTATCATGGCTGAGGCTGCAAAACTTGGCAGGTAGCTTAAAAAGAGAGAAGACTAGAGGATTCTTTTCCAGCAATTTTTGCATCTGTAGTTCGGTGACATTGAGTACATTCTTCTTCTTGTACAGCCACCATCACTATCCTTTCTCGAGTTATCCAGCCACCATTAACAGACACTCAGTGCCCCCTACAGAGTAACTACCTTTTCCCCTTCCCTCCCATCTGTGGTAACAACTCATAAGCTTTGGTTTCCATATATTTGCCTATTTCACATCAGTGAGATCATACAGCATTTGTCCTTCTCTGACTGACTTATTTCACTCAGCATAGTGTCTTCAAAGTTCATCCATTTGCAGCAGGTCAGGACTTCATTTCTTTTTATAGTTGAGTAATATTCCGTTGTATGTATGTACCCTTTTTTTAAAAAAAAAACAAAACAAAAACCCTTAACATAAGTTTTGTTCTGATAACCTACGTGGAGCACATTATTATTCCAACATTTTCTTTTTTGCCTCTCCTATCAGTCATTTCTACTTCTGTCAGCAAGAAAAGACCGACTACCAAGTAATATCCGTGTCCCAAACTTATCACTGAGAAGTCTTTTTGAGGTAAGGTAATCTTGTTACATAGGGTTTCAAGTCAGGCCCCTCAGCCTTGTATTTGGGGACATCCCCCTTAGCCACCTCACCACAAATTTGTTACTCACGTCTTTGGCATGGGTCATAGCTAAGTCAGGTTTTACCAGTTCCAAACTTTATGGCTGAAGGAGTTTGAAATTTTATATTGATGTAATGTCTTCCATGAGTCTTCTTGCAGTTTCTTTTTATTTCCAGAAATATGCTGTCATTGGACTTTATGAGAATATGGAACGGGTGCCCCAGTTTGTCCAGTGGCTCATCTCCATTGATGCAAGTATTGAGAGTATCGGACCATACCCTCTTCATGCCGTCATGCGACTCTGTATCCAAGCGAGTGCGTATTCTTCCAGTTCCACACCCTCTAAGCTGCCTCTTCACCATATGGGCACTCTGCTGAACTCAAGGGATAAGAATTTAACAACTTGAATAATTTCCAGACAGGAAGCTGGGAAACTGCATCCATTTATTTTGCTTGGGACTAATAGCTAAAGAAGGCCTGAACTGAAAGGATTTTGTGTTCCTAGACAGATCCTTGCAGCAGGGTGGAGCCCCCAGGCCCAAGGACAGGGCTTGTGACTGACAGCTGTTGCCAGGCAGAGCTCCAGGAGAGCTGTGGAGTTACCTCCCTCTGGTCCTTTTCCTGACTCATTTTTTTCTCCAGCCCAGAGAGCTGACTGCTGTGTTCTGGGTCTGTGGCCAGGGGAACCCCAAGGGAAGCACAGTCTATTAATGGTATTTTTTGGTTGTGGTTCTTTTAAAGGACTGGTATTTTCCTTATAGTTTTTTCTTTAATACTTCCCCACCTGGCTACAGGATTTAAATTTTTTAATATTTTGATTTTATCATTAACTCCCCCTGTCACACACACACACTTTAGATAGAAGCTTGTTTTTCTTTTCCAAGCATATGCGGTGTCACCCTTGGACATTTGGCTAGGCCATTTTAGAGCTGCAAGAGGCAGAGGGATCTTGTCTAGTCTCCACCTTCTCAGATGAATCATCTAGAAGTTACAGAATGGGTGTGGACCTGGGTCCAGGGTCCTGTCTTTGCTTTAGCAAATGTTATCCATTTCATATATTGCAGAGGCAATAAGGAAGCTTTGGTAGCATAGTGCCTAAGGCACTTGACTGTTAACCAGAAGGCTGGCGGTTCAAACCCACTAGCCACTCCTCAGAAGGAAAATGAGGCAATCTATTTCCATAGTGATACTGCCTTGGAAACCCAAATAGGGTCGCTATGAGTTGGGTCTGACTTGATGGCACATAACAACAACAACAACAGAGGCAATAAGAGATTTTACTTTTATAAAAGGATTGATGGATAAAACATTTATAACTAAATAAAGACTAATTTAACTGAATCCTCCCAGTTTAAAATTAGAAAACTGAAACCCACAGAAGTGTGCCTCTGGGTATGAATGTCATAGTTCCCTATTGTGTCTATTCTTTATGTTGGCCAATGGTTACAGGGAGGTATTGGTAAGACCAAGTCTTCACATTTATCCTTGGTTAGTTTCTCAAAGGAAAACTCTGGTATAGTGACAAATGTTGTCCATAGAGTTGGACAGAGGTGTGTGGCTTTCCTTGATCTCAGCATCCTGGGAGAAGAACTTAAATTACCCGTCCTATTGATACTAATTCAGTACGGTAATCGTCAATTCAGAGATACTGTCTTGATTATGGAAGTGGACACTCTCCTGCCGGGATCTGTGTAGGCACATGAGATGCTCTTTACCATCGGTGCTCCCAGTATGCCCCCCCCCACACACCTGCTGTAAGTGTTGGCTGCTAACAGCTCACAGCTGCTCCCTTCTCCAGAAAATTGGTCTTTGCTATCTGGCATCACTTCTCAGAGAAGTTTCTCCCTGAATCTTGCCTTTCTCCTTGTGGGCATTCTCTAGCTCATGATTGACTGACATGACATATAAAAGGTGAGCTTCAGGGTGCCTCAAGGTGGGACCAACTCTGTGGAGCAATTTATGCTCCGGAGCTTCCTGAGGATCAGGCTGAAGTGGACCTCAGTTGAGACCACATCTCTGCTTAGCTCCTTCCCCTCCTCTCACACTCTTTCTCCTGAGATTTTTCTCTCTCAATAAATCGCTTGCACAAGAATCCCTATCTCAGGCTGTCCATCTAGGGAAAGTGACCTGAGACTACCAGCAAAGTAAGTAGCTTTCTAAAACTCCGCCTTTCAATCTTACCAGTGCTTGTGTAGCCCCACACCTGTTTGTGATAAGTGGAAAAGCATGTTAGATTCCTCCTTTAGTTCCTTGAGTGTGGTACATGTTGAACTTTTTTTTTTTTTGCTGATTTTCTGTATGGAGAAAAATCTTTTGTAACTCATTTTAATTCCCTTCAGGGGACAACCACCTGTTCAGGTGGCTAATGGACTACAGGCCACAGTGGAAAGGCCGCATCAACCAGAAGGACGAGGATGGCTGCACAGTCCTGCACATTGTTGCTGCCCACTCTCCAGGATACCTCATTAAGCGTAAGTACCAGCACCACCCTAGGGTTTAGTGCCTCGGAGGCTGTGCTGTGAGCTGGATGGTCTCAGGCATTATAAAACTCATACAACTGACCACTGCATCTTACCCATTCCCTCCTGTGACAGGAGTCTCTGGATAGCACACATGTTAATGTGTGTCGCTGCTAAATCAGAAATTGGCAGTTTGATCCCACCCAGAGCTGCCTCAGAAGAAAGACCAGATGATCTACTTCTGAAATATCAGCCATTGAAAACCCTGTGGAGCACAGTTCTACTCTGACACACATGGGGTCACTATGAGTCATTGTTGAAAGCAGCTGGTCAGAGTAATCCTGTGGCAGGCCCCAAGGGCTAAACTTTTCCTCCAGTTAAACATGGCTAGGAGCTCTGGTAGCATAGTGCCTAAGGCATCTGACTGCTAACAAGAAGGCTGGTGGTTCAAACCCACCAGCCACTACTTGGAAGGAAGGTTGGGCAATCTACTTCTTTAGTGATATTGTCACAGAAACCCAGAGAGGGGTCGCTATGAGTCAGGTCTGACTTGACAGCACATAACAACAGAGCACAAACTGTATGTAGGATGGTGGTGGGATGAGAAAAAGAAGAAATGCTGGGGTCGTTGTACTTTTTCCATGTTTAAATGGCTTCTGTGAGGTTGGATGACTCGAGGACATGAGCTACCAACTGCATTTATTTCTTCACTCATCACATGGTTACTAAGTGCTTTATTTTATGCCAGATCTCTTGCTAGTCACCAGAGAGAAATTGTGAACCAGCAACACTTATGGTCCTGCCTTCGTGGTACCTAGAATGTAACACAAGAATTACATCCTCACATATCTAATAGGATATATGAAAGAATGAGACAGGCACGTATTAGGAAGATACTTTTTTATTATTACTATCTTTCTGTTGGTAGTGAGAATATGCACAGCAAAACACTGAGAATAATGTTGTCAAGGTTCATCACATTGCAGCATGCATCAGTACTGCATTACTTTTTTTTTTTTTTAATTGTGATTTGGGTGAAAGTTACCAGAGCAAATTCACTTTCCATACAGCAGTTCACATATACTTTGTCTCCCAGTGAACTACAGTTTCCCACAATGCAACAGCTCCCCTCTCACTTCCTCCCCATAGTTACCTCTTCCCTGTGTCCTTCCCTCCCATGCATTCCTGCCCTCCAGGCTGTCTTCCTGTGCATACACAGCCCTTCTATTCTCCCATGATTGATTTCTCCAAGGATTATATCTGCCTGCTATAAATGTTCAGCTCATATGCCTGTCTTTTGTTTGGCTGGAAGCCACAGGAATGGGTTCTAGACCTAAAGGGCAGCTAGGGGCCAGTCTCAGTGGTTCCATCAGGCTCTATCAGACCAGCAAACCTGGTCCTTTTTTTTTTTTTTTTTTAAATGATTTTGAGTTTTGTTCCACATTGTTCTCCCACTCTATCCAGGATCTCCTACACAGAGCACCCTTTGAGTGGTTGACAGTGGTAGCTGTGCATCATCTAGTTCTTCTGGTCTCATAGGCGTACAGGCTGAGGATCGCATGGTGTACCAGTCACTTGGATTAATTGTTTCCATATGTCTTTGGTTTTCGTCATTCTTCTTTGCTTTGGATGAGGAGAGACCCATCATTGCATCTAAATGGCTGCTTGCAAGCTTTTAAGGTCCCGGTTGCTACTCGCTCAAGTATGATGTGGAACAATGTTTTGTGTAGTATGTTATGCCAAATGAGCTCCATGTCCCTTGCAACTACAGTCCCGAGCCTACAGGTCCAACTACTCGCTCCCTCTGGGTAGCTGGCTGTGGCCAAGAAGTGACCACAATCTTGTCCCTTGTCAGCTCTACTGGAATTTCTTGTTCTTATAGAACATACAGATACTTGTAGAAACATTGTCTGCCAACCCTGTACATGGTCTTGGGCACACTTACCCCTGCATGGACATACTTAATAGTTTAGCCTGTTCACCCATCTACCCACCTGTATATCAATGTTTGCCTTCACTGACAACAGAGTACTGTATGTGCAAAAGGGTTCATCTTTGCTGTCGGTACCACCCACACACCTTTCTATGTCTTCCTCTTCCTCAGTACCACCGTGTTGATTACGCATATTTGGTATATTGCCCTTCTCTTCACCCAAATCGATACTTGTCTTTACCTATCTAACAGTGTTCCCTCCCATCCTTTCCCCTCCCCTCCCACCTCTGGTAACCAACAAAGAAAATTTCCTTCCATATATAAACCTTTCCTTGACTTTTTACAATAAAAGACTAATCCAATATCTGCCCTTCCGTGATTGACTTTATTTCACTCAGCATAATGTCCTCCAAGTTCATTCACATTATGTAGTGTTTTGCTGATTCTACATGACTCTTTAGGGTTGCATAGTATTCCACTGTGTGTATTTACCATAGTTTGGTTATCCATTCTTTTGCTGATGGGGCTTTTTATTTTTTTACTTTTATTGTGGTGAAAACATATACAACAAGACATTTGCCAACATAACAACTTCCCCATTTATAGCTTAGGGACATTGATGACATTTTTCATGTTGTGCCACCATTATTGCTATCCTTTTCCAAAATATTCCACCACCATTAGCATGAACTCAGTGCCCTGCAAGCAAAAGCTTCCCCTTCCCCCTCCCTCCTACCCCAGTAACCACTAATAATCTTTGATTTATATATATATATAATTTTATTTATTTTTCCAGGATAACTGGGAATTTTCCCTCCCTTTCCCTCCCCTCCCATCCCTGGTAACCAACAACCAACAATGATAGTTTCATTCCATGTATAAACCTTTCCTTGACTTTTTATAGTAGTGGACTAATACAATATTTGTTCTTCTGTAATTGACTTATTTCACTGACCATAATGTCCTCCAAGTTCATCCATGTTATGTGGTGTTTTGCAGATTCTACATTATTCTTTAGAGGTTGCATAGTATTCCGTTGTGTCTACACAGTACTGCATTACTTTCTATGGCTAAATTATATTCTGTTATATAGGTAAACCACATTTTGTTTATCCATTGATAACTTGATGGATGTATGGATTGTTCCAACTTTTTGGCTGTTATGAATAATGCTGCTGTGAAGATTTGTGTACAAATTTTTGGTGGGCATGTATTTTCATTTTCCTGGGTAGCTACCTAGGAGTGGATTATGTTTAACATTTTGAGGAACTGCCAGACTATTTTCCAAGGTGACTACACCAATTTACATTCCCACCAGCAGCATATGAAGGTTCCAGTTTTTTTGCATCCTACCAACACATATTAACTGTCATTTTGATGTTCCTTCAGTACCCTGTTAAAGGCAGCAGTAAGCTATTAAATGTTTTAACAACTGACTCTCCAAAAGGAAGCCCTGAATTGTAGTATTTGCCAACTTCCATGGAATAAATACTCCTATCATGGCTGATTTCAAGCTACCAATGTGACTTTACTGAATGCTGAGTTGGGAGGAGATGTGCAGTTGTTAGGTGCCGTAGAGTTGGGTCTTACTTCATGAACAACAGAACGAAACACTGCCTGATCCTGCACCATCCTCACAGTCCTTGCTATGTTTAAGATCATGTTGAAGCCACTGTGGCTGTCCATCTTGTTGAGGGTCTTTCTCTTTAACTGATCCTCTACCAAGCATGGTGTCTGTCATGGATTGAATTGTGTATTGCCCAAGTATATGTTAACTTGGCCAGACCACGATTCTCAGCAGTATGTAATTATCCTCCATTTTGTGATTATCCTGTGTGTTGTAAATCCTAACCTCTGTGATGTTAATGAGACCAGATTAGTGGCAGTTATGTTAATGATGCAGGATACAATATACAGGATTACATGGTATTTTGAGTCAGTCTCTTTTGAGATACAAAATAAATGAAGCAAGAAAGGCTGCCGGCAAGATGGCGGACTAGGCAGAAGGATTGCACAGACCCTCTTCAACAAAGAAAAGGGAAACCAATTAACACAGACACAGAAGATAATCCTGAAC